AAAGGTACTCATAACATATTTTTTCAATTTATCCGATACTCATAAGCCTCCGTCTCTTTGGGCTTTCTATTCAATGATACGTACTATGATATCTATTAAAATGAATATATATATGCTTCATCGGCATTTACTTGAAAGATTGTTCAAACTGTATCATTAACATTTATAATAAAATAGTTTTCATGTTTTTATAATTATTATCAATAGAACAGTTTATTTGTATTTAGTGCAAAATAAATGTTTTACAAAACATTTTTTTCTCTTTGGTAGTCATCTAAACAAGGAGTGCGGTAATGAAAATGCGTGAGTTAAGAAGCTCTTAACTCACTCAAAATGCGTGAGTTAACAGCTTCTTAACTCACTGACGCGACGTGGATAAAAATATGAGTGAGCTCAAGAACATAGCGTAGGAGCTTGAACAGTCGGTCTGAAACAATATATCGGGCACAAGAAATAGCCATCTTATGTGATAGTCAAGCAGCATTAAAAGCGATCAACTCAGTAACATCCAATTCGAAGTTGATCAAAGAATGCCTAGAGAACTTGAACAAATTAGGCAAAGAAAGTAAAGTCCTTCTAACACTAGGGTTGCCAACCGTCCTCTATTTCAGAGGACAGTCCCTTCCCCCCCTATTTTTGATCGTACCGTCCTCTTTTCTCTGGCGCATCCCGCAAGACCTCTTTTTTACACACCAAACTCAAAATCTAAGTATAAAATTATCGTCTATCGCAACAATGCCTAATAAAATTGCTAATCTGGCAACAGCATGCCTTTTGCTAGCTCCACTCCTTCATTCAGAAAATAAATATTTACGTACAAGAAATATTGGTGGATGCGCTGAGAAAGTAAAAATGCCATTATCCGGTATAACGTTTACATAGCTTTTGGATAAAATTTTGACAGTTGAGCGAGGTTTAAACATTTTTTGCTTGTCCTCTTTTTTACACTCGGGTCCTCTATTTTTAATTTTGAAAGTTAGCAATCTTATTCTAAGCAAACGATCTTGCTAGAAAAGGAGCGAACACTCCACTCGACCAGAATCGTTCTGTTTCCCAAGTAGAAAACAACTTAAAGCGGAACTCAAGAACCTGGAAAACTCCATCCGTAACCTGGAATGGGAACCCTCCAACGGTCCACGACACTCGAAGAAATTTATCAGAACTTACGACCGAGAAAAATTAAAGATTTTCCTCGATTTAAGCAAGAAGAATCTTCGCATTGTCACGGGGTTTTTAACAGGATACTTTTCAATGAACACCTCAGAGACACCTAGATCGAAGCTAAGAAACAACGGCGAATAGAGATTCTGGGAGGAAAATGGGGAAACACTAGAACACCTCATCACTGAGTGCGTTGACACGGACAACCATTCGTGTCTTAAACATTGGTACGACTAATAATGGAGAACTAACCTCTATAAAAGCGTCTGAGACACTGACTTTTGTCAAAGCCCTGAGATTGTATGATGAGTTATAACTCAAGAAAAGAGGACACAATACATTTTTAAGGTCCGGTCTTGGTGGTTAATTCTTCCCCCTTCCACACAATCTAAAATCTACAGTGCTGAAACATGGAATATAATACAGGGTGGCCCATAGAAAACGTTCCGCAAGGCATAACGGCCAGGGTATTCTTTTTTTCAAAAAATCCAAAAACACGTCAATTTTGTTTATGAGGGGGACAACTTTTGCCCCAAAAACGATTGCAAAATCTTCAACACTCTGAGTGGGAGTGTCATCCCCCAACTTTTTTTAAATGGGAAGGGGGGTCAAGTGGCGCCGCAATGAAAATAGCTTTCTATTCTCTATATTTCCCCGCCTCGCTTTTGAAAATCGGTCGAGTCATACAGAAAATATGAAGGATTGAAATTTGAAAAGTTTATTTAAACATTTATCGGAACGTTTTCGATGGGCCACCCTGTATATCTTTCCCGTTAACAGCCTCATATGAAGCGTTTACTTTAATTTTTTGTCCTCTAGTGGGATATCAATCTTTAACAAAAAAATATATACATATGTTTGTGGATAAAATATTTTTCGGGGTTTAGTGTCATTTTATCCACTTATTTTTGGCTTTTGGTTTTACAAAAAGAAAAAGCGTCTACCGTGTAACATTTAGCATTTCTTTTCAATATTTCCACTTCAACGGGTTCATTCAGTGAGAAAAATAAGTTCGCGCGCAACAGCAAAAGCGAAAAAAATTCAGAATTTAATTACAAAATAAAACAAAATTAAAAAACCTGTTAATTAATCTGTTTGAAGGTAAAGTCATTGTAAACTGTTTTAATTAGTGACTGACTACTTGAAAGTTGTTTTTTTTTATTTGTTAACTCGCAATTTAATGATTAACTAACAAAATACTTCGTTAGCTGGCAGCGCACTTTTCTAGATTTTTCACTATGAAAAACACTTTACTTCATCATTTTTCGTAAAAAAAACTAATATTTTAAATTAATTTAAACTAAAACTAACCCACTATATAAAACTTTTATAAATGTTTATCTGTATTTTCCCGTTTTTATCGTTGATTTATTGGAGAGAAAATAAGTTTTCAGTTTATTTGAAACAAAAAGAAGAAGAAAATTGAGAACAAATAGTTTTTCAGAACACCCTCTGTTTCTTTCTTGGAATATATTGTATCAACACTGCAATTTTCAATATTAATTATTATACAGGGTGGCCCATCGAAAACGTTCCGCAAGGCATAAAGGCCAGGATATTTTTTTTTCCAAAAAATCCAAAAACACGTCAATTTTGTTTGTGAGGGGGACAACTTTTGTTCCAAAAATGATTGCAAAATCTTCAACCCTCTAAGCGGGGGTGTCATCCCCCAACTTTTTTCAAATGGGAAGCGGGGTCAAGTGGTACCGCAATGAAAAGGGCTTTTTATTCTCTATACTTTCCCGCTTTGTTTTTGAAAATCGGTCGAGTCATTGAGAAAATATGAAGGATTGAAATTTGAAAAGTTTATTTAAACATTTATCAGAGTAAATGATAAGGATAAATTCCTTCTACCAATTTGCTGTTTTTTCTTATTATTTCTAGATGTTTAAGCATTTTTTCACTTGCCACAAGGTTGAACGATCAGGTGCGGCAGTTGCTAGATAGCTGTTCTGTGACTTGTGCGTTGAAGTTCTTCTCAATATCGTTAAACTGACCCAAAATAGAATTTCCAAAAATACCAGCCCACACGTTCAACTTCTGAGGGTTTTGTGTGTGCACCTCGTGAAAAAACCCTCAGCCCAGTACCGACAGTTATGCCGATTAACTACACCGTTCAAAAAGAAAGTACACTCATCCGAAAAACACACATTAAATAGGAAATTATTATCATTCGCCACTCGTTCACTCACAGTTTCACAAAATTGCAGCGACGATCAAAATCGTCTTCGTTGAGTTCTTGTACCAACTGAATTTTGTACGGGTGAATTTTGTACGAAGTTTCCGGAATACACTTCGGACCACCCTGTATATTAATAGAGTTATCGAGAAATGAACATAATTATGTTCATTATTGCAAAAAATGAATAACTCGAGTACCAACGGAAAAAAAGCGGCCCGCAAATTTCAGCGTTTAATTAAAAAAAAAAAAAAAACGAGAGAAGTTTAAAAACGTGAAAACAGTTTTCGAGGGAGTCGAAGCCAATGTAAACTGTTTTTTAATTTAATGGCCGCTCCGGCCACTCGACACGGCTTTTTATTAATTATCCCGCAGTGGCCACCGCACACTCCAGAGTTTGTTTCCGGTATTGTTGGGGCTGCGCGCAGGGTCCCGGATTAAAGGGCGTCCGACGAAGGCCGGACCTACACCCACCCCCCACTTTACCCCTAAACCAGTCCTCTTAAGGGCTTCGGGTTTGCTTTTTCCGCTACGTACGTTGTTCTTCGGTCCAGACTAAACGGCACGGATGTTTGTTCCTTTGGGGTTGCATTTATGGTTTCATTTTGATTTAAATTAAACGAATTTTTATAAATTTGATTGATTTTTTTACGGCACTGGATTCTAAAAAAATAATTTGTGAAATTAATAGCCTTTTATTGGTGTTATTATATTGATTTTTGATTCAAATTCACATTTATTTAGAATAATTTATCAACTAACACAATTAAGTATGTAATTAATGAATATTTGGGTGGAAATAATGGCGGTAAATTTAATTAATGATATACTCTTTTATAAAGATTTAAATACTTTTCTTTTTGTATACAAATGGGCTAGTAATATTGTAGTTATTAGCACCTGTACATTTTGTACATTTGTTGCTCTAAAAACAATCTAAAATGTCAATATTCCATGGGTATATTGATAAATGAGGTCTAAATTATAAGAAAATGCATTTTCTACGAAAACTTGAAGGGATAGGTATAAAATGGAATAATAGAATTTGATAGACAATTAAATTGTGCATCTGATTCTCCAAAAATATATAGAGTGTTCTATTTAAATTAAACAAGGTATTGCCGTTTAAATCTAGAAAATATTTAAAATAAATTTTTAGGCACTCTGTATGAAGTAGTATTATTTTTATTATTGCAACACAATAACTGATTAACAAATAAACATCAGTAAATATTTAGTATTAAAAACTTTGATACCCTTGGAGAAATGAAGCCTTAAAATTTTTACTGCAATTTCACAAAATTGAAAATGTTTCATAAACGTAAGATGAACCTTAATCAAATTTACCTTTGTTTTAATCGTAGAATCTAAAAATGTAATAATATACCGGGTGTTCTGTTTAAACAAATACAACTTTGATATTTTTTATTTATTTGGGACACTCTGTATCTTGTAAAAATATTTTTAAATTGTAATTCTAATAGTCCTTCAACGAACCCACAACTTATAATTTGTAAAAATCTAATCGTTTAGCTACAACACTCCGTGTCATATATGTTGCGTGAGTTCTTTTCGAAGTGTTTTCTTTGAAACCCTTATAAGAGTTTTGCAACAGTATGATACTACAAAATTATACTAAATTTTCCTTTTTTTCTTCCAGCAACCAAACGTTCCCGCACCACCCCCGACGACTCCGACTCCGACCAAGACCAAGACCACCGCCGGCCTACCTCACGCAGTCCGGCACCCCCTCCACCTCCGTCTATGCTCTCTGCTCATCAACAGCCGCCCCAAATAACCATGTGCCCCTCGCCACCCGAAGAACTCACGGCCAGCCCGGATGCCGACCTGGACGTGGAGGAGGATGACGAGGACGTCCAGCACGAGACGCCCGAGAACCTGTCGCTGAAGCGGGAGAAGATGCAGAGTCCGGAACCGGTCAGTGGGGGGCAGGAGGGGAGTTTCGGCGGGTTCCATCATAATCCTTTTATTGGGCAGTTCCCGACGCCGCAGCAGTTGCAGCAGATTCAGCCTCCGTCGCAGAGGTCGCCGGTGAATATACTGATGAGGGTGTTTCCTGGGAGGAGGAGGTCGGACGTAGAGGCTATTTTGCAAAGGTAGGTTTTGATCAAGTGTCAATAAACTCAGTGAAGGCGCGTTGTTTAATAATACTGGTTGTAAAAAAAAAACCTGAAGCACTGGCACCATTCCTGCTAATTTTTATGTAAAATGGCGTCCCGAGTTTGTGAAAATGGTTATAATACCTTCAGAAATCAATTATTTGTCGGTCAGTGGTGTCTCAGATTATACAGGGTCAGTCTTAAACTCGGTCTTAAATTAGTGCAAATATTTTTAGAGATTTATTCATTTTTGAAATTTTGATATTTTTTTGAAAATTTTGTTAGTTTTTAGTTAAAAAATATAATTTCTTGACAATATGGCAACATAGAGTAGTAGATTAAATTTATAAGAAAGAAAACCTAAAAAAGATACAGTGGTTCTCAAAATTTAACCAAAAAAACATTGTTTTTTAAACGTCACAAAAGTTTTAATTTTTGCGACGTGATTGACAATATAAAAAGTAATATTAATGTCTAGGCATAAAACTAAAGCACTTTTACGCCTAAGTATAAAAGTACGAAACTATATTAATAACCTGACAAAGTGTCAAATTCAACGAGCGTAACCATAGTTTCTCAATATATATATCTATATAATTACATACAATGTATGAGTTTGAAATCTTTTTATATTATTAGGAACGTTTAAAATTGTTTAAAAACTTATTTGTGGGATTTGAAAAAAATAGCATGTTCTATTCGGAGTAAAAATGACTTTTTGTGCCTTGGCTGTATGCCAGCGGTAACAGTCAAACGTACAGCCTCGTACAATAAAGCAATATATTACTTTTTTTAAATTTATTTGAAAAACGGTAAAAAATATGTTTTTTTTGTCGAGATCTACCAATTCTCAAAATATTTGCACTTATTTAAGACTCACCCTGTATATCAAGTTTTAAGCTGTTTGGGCTCAGTTTATACCGAACATTAATTCAAAGCTTGTTTTAAATGATGTTAGTTTATTAGCCAAGCAACGCGATTATAGAAAATGCATCCTCTTATACCATACTATACCATCCTCTTTTACCTCCTCTACCACACCAACAGGTATGGTAGGCTATTAAGATCGACAAAAAAAAGTTTTTTAATTTCACTCAAAATGAGTTATTTGGGTCAAAAATGACCTAAATACAAAATATTTTCATGGTGTCTGTCTGTCCGTCTGTCTGTAACACGATAACTCAAACACCCCTAAACCGATTTTAACTAAATTTGGCACAAAAATACTGTGGCACCCGAGAATCTGGCCATTAGTTTTTGGTGGGGGTGAGGGGTTGGCAAGGGGGTATGGGAGGGGATTAAAATTTTTAAAAAATCTCCAAAATTACTGTAGCTAGCGAAACGCGGTTTTCAATTTAAGATTAGGAATAATATTTGCAACAAAATTTGTAATAACATCAAAAAATTGGAAAAATTCCTTTACTTTGAAACTAAAAGAACTGCCTACCAACTTTTTATTAACATATATTAGTATGAGCATTTTATTTTTCTTTTACTATGTTATTGTTTCTTTACTTCCAGATGTCGAGGCGATATCCTCCAAGCCATGGAACTAATGATCGGCGGAGTATCCGACGAACCCTCCATACCATCCGCTTTCTCCCCATTGGGCGTACCGTACCACCTACAAAGGTACAGCCCTCCCAGGAGGTTCCTGGCCGCACCCTACGCTGGTACCGGATACCTGTCATCCGTTATCCGACCTCCAGCGGATTACATCTCTCTGGTGGGGTCGCTGCATGACACCACAGCCTCATCACCTGCTTCCAATACGAGTTCGGATAAGACGTCGTACTCTGAGTAGCTTTACAGGTAAAGGTAATGTGCTTTACCTTGAATAGGATAGACTTTGTTGATGTTGGTCGGACTTGGGTTGGAGATGTGCTTGTTGAGTGTCAGAATGGTTACTTTGATCTTATTGTTTTTCTCTGAGATTAATTTGGATTAATTTTTTTTTTCGAAAAATTGTTATTCATGACTCAAACGCACATGCAAAATATAGGATAATATTAAAAAATATCGGAATTTGTTGTACTTATTATACAATAATATACAGGGTGGTCCGAACTGTATTCCGGAAATTTCGGAAGAATATTCTGCAGATAAAAATAAGTAAAAAAGTTCGTATAAATGTATGTCCTAAATTGCTTAGTTTCGGAGATACAGGGTGTAGAAGTTTCATTTTTATTTCGATTTTTTCCAAATCATTTCTGAAGTAACGTCAATATTTGGGTGAAAATAGGTGTCTGGGGGAGAGAGAGAGAGTTTTTTGACACGAGAAATTTAATTTTGATGTCTACATGTGTTTTAACTGTTTTGAAGAGTAATAACTTTTCGTCTGTGCCTGTATAAAACAACTGAGTGAAAAAATATATATTTCCGTGATTTTTTACGTAAAACACGCCTCTTGGTAAAAATTACTACGAGCAACCGTTCTAAAGATATTTACAATGGAAATAGTCAATACAGGTCATTATTGACAAAAATAAACATGTTGAGTAGATAGTTACATATTCGACTCAAACAATAAATTTGGGAACTTTTTATTTTTTTTTAATTTATCATAAATTTTTCTTCGAAAAAATGATGATAAAACAGTTTCTGCTGAACTTTTGACACAAAATCATTTCAAATTTATGATTTCAGTCTAATAACTATTTAGTCAACTTGTTTAATTTATGTCAATGATGACAGATATTGATAATTTTGATTCCAAATATCTCGCGAACCATTACTCGTAGCGATTTTTACCAAGAGACCTTTTTTACGTAAAAAACCTCGCAAAGGTATGTTTTTTGCTCAGTAGTTTTATACAGGTACAGACAAAAAGTTATTACTCTTCAAAACAGTTAAAAAATAAGTAGGCGGCGCCCTCTACAAGTAGGAGTCATGTTGATATCAAAAACCAATTTCTCATATCAAAAAACACCGAGACACCAATTTTCATCCAAATATTGACGTTACTTCAGAAATTATTTGGAAAAAATCGAAATAAAAATGAAACTTTTACACCCGGTTTCTCCAAAATCAAGCATTTTAGGACATAAATTTATTCGAACTTTTTTACTTATTTTTATCTGCAGAATATGCTGCCGAAGTTTCCGGAATACAGTTCGGACCACCCTGTATAACAATCTAGTCAAGAAATAAATTTAATTTTTCCTTAAGAACCTTATTTAGAACTTTAGATATTTTTAATCAGCTTTTATTACTTTTATAATCACTTATTTTAAGTTATTTTTGTACCTAAACTTATAAAACTATTATTTCAATATAATATCGAAAAATTTTACATTTGTTATAATATTTTTTACAAGGGATTTCTAAAGATATTATTTAAAATCCATACTTTCAAAAATTCTACGTTTTTTAAACTAAATAGATTTTTTAGAGAGAATACTTTTTAGGGATTCCTTGTACATGAACAAACAAAAATATATAATTATATGAAATTTGTGTATTAGGAAAAAGAACAAAACATATTATTACATTTTATAAATGTTGTATATAAAAAACCTAGATGTAGTAATAGAATAACATAGTAAAAATGTATACATAGTTGATGATATTATAATTAATAAAAGGTGAAACCATTAAATGAATAAGATGTATGATTTTTTTTGCGTAAAAATTAAATAATGAAAGCTTTAATAACTTTAATTGATAATATACTTTTTTTAAAGTGTATCTTTTATACAATATTCTCTATTTTTTTTAAGTATTTTTAAGAATATTTTATTAATGAGCGAATTTTTGAGATATTTTAGTTGTGGCAATTATACACAGTCGGTAACTATACTGTACACACTAACATTACTGTACACAGTTTAAACAGAATCGTGATTATACAATGGTCATATTTCATGAAACACCCTGTATATTTTTTTTAAAAATCTTAAAATATGTAAAACAACAAAATAAAATATACGTGTTTAAGAGTTTTTTCGGAAACTTGACCATTTTTTAAATAACGTAAAAAATATTGTAATATTTAAGGGGTGGTTTCACCCCTTTGGAACTGGAATTTCGAAAAATCCTTTCTTATCGAACCTCTACACCCTATAATCAACCTGTATGCCAAAATTGAGTTTCTTACGTTGAGTGGTTTGAGCAGGATCGTGATTAATCAGTATGTGAGTCAATTAAGGATTTTATACAGGGTTGTTCACCACATACGACACGGAGTATTGTAGCTAAACGATGAGATTTTTACAAATTGTAAGTTTGGGGTTCGTTGAAGGACTATTAGAGCTACAATTTAAAAATATTTTTACAAAATACAGAGTGTCCCAAATAAATAAAAAATATCAAAGTTGTATTTTTTTAAATGGAACACCCTGTATATTATTACATTTTTAGTTTCTACGATTAAAATAAAGGTAAATTTGATTAAGGTTTATTATACTTAAACATTACGTTTTTGAAATATTTTCAATTTTGTGAAATTGCAGTAAAAATTTTAAAGCTTTATTTCTCCAAGGGTATCAATGTTTTTAATACTAAATATTTAATGAAGTTTATTTATTGATCAGTTATTGTGTTGCAATAATAAAAATAATACTACTTTATAGAGAGTGTCTAAAAATTTACTTTAAATAATTATTAACTTCAAACGGCAACAACTTCTTTAATTTAAATAGAATGCCCTGTATATTTTAGGAGAATCAGATGCACAATTAAATTGTCTATCAAATTGCATTATACCATTTTTTACCTATCCCTTCAAGTTTTAGTAGAAAATGCATTTTCTTATAATTTAGACCTCATTTATCAATATATCCATGGAATATTGACATTTTAGATTGTTTTTAAAGCAACAAATGTACAAAATGTACAGACTAGTAATATTATCGTTTTTAGCAAAACGATAATATTACTAGCCCATTTGTATGCAAAAGAAAACTATTTAAATCTTTATAAAAGAGTATACCATTAATTAAATATAACACCATTATTTGCGCCCATATACTAATTAATTACATACTTAATTGTGTTCGTTATTAAATTATTATAAATAAATGTGGATTTGAGTCAGAAATCAATATAATAATAAGTTATCAAATTAAAGTCTCTGTAGTTATAAATAAGCATTTATTAAAAAATGAAATATCATTTTTAAGGTGTTACTTTTTATCACACTGTCTAATGCCCATACAAAATTCAGTTTTTTAGTATTTGGAGCAATTATTATTAATCAAAGCAAACAGTCAGTTAATGTTGTTTGAATACTGGAATCATATTAACTGATCCTCTTTAACAAATATTTAAACAGTTTTTTTTTATTTTTTAATGAAATAACGAATTATATCGACAATATTAGTATCTGTACTCTTCAAAAATTTGGTACATCTTTAAAAATAATCTAAAATGTCAATAGTCCATGGGTATATTGATAAATAAGTTCTAAATTACAAGAAAATGCATTTTCTACGGAACCTTAAAGAAATAGGTAAAAAATGGTATAATATAATTTGATAGACAATTAAATTGTGCATCTGATTTTCGTAAAATATACAGTGTGTTCCATTTAAATTAAACAAGTTATTGCCGTTTGAAGCTAATAATTATTTAAAATAAATTTTTAGACACTCTGTATAAGGTAGTATTATTTTTATTATTGCAACACAATAACTGATCAGTAAAAAAACTTCAGTAAATATTTAGTATTAAAAACTTTGATACCCTTGGAGAAATGAAGCCTTAACATTTTTACTGCAATTTCACAAAATTGAAAATATTTCAAAAACGGTAAAGTTTAAGTATAATTAATCTTAATCAAATTTACCTTTATTTTAATCGTAGAAACTAAAAATGTAATAATATACAGGGTGTTCCATTTAAAAAAATACAACTTTGATATTTTTTACTTATTTGGGACACTCTGTATCTTGTAAAATTATTTTTAAATTGTACCTCTAATAGTCCTTCATCGAACCCAAAACTTACAATTTGTAAAAATCTCATCGTTTAGCTACAATACTCCGTGTCGTATGTGGTGAAGAACCCTGTATATTAGTATAGATTATATTGGAAATGTCATCGATCTTCATTTCCAAGCCAACTGGACGCCATTTTTTTCGATCATACGGTATTACTTCTCTACTGTGTCATTGCATGTTTTGGTTGGTCTTCCTCTTGGTCTACATCTTTCATACAAACATAAAAATCATATTTGAAGCCTTTTTTAGTCTTCTTATTCAATGTATCACTACAGAAAACATTACTGTCTGCTATTGTCCTTGTATTATTAAGTTTCAGCGTTTGCAATATGCTAATAAACATGGGTAAACAATAGCCCGATCTTCAGAGCGTCAAGAGGAGGGTACACGTATGACTATTATCCCGCCGCACTAATCTCAACGTCTAGAGCCCTTATTATACGGGTTACTATGCCATTATATTACATGGTAACTGGAGACTTGTCAATACTTAATTAAATTTACCCATGAGGAATACGTAGAAAGTCTGGATGATTTTTGGGTATTTTTTTCAGGGGGAGCAAATTGTAATGTTTGGTTAGTGTAAAGGTAGATAAGGGATGGTCCAAATCAAGAAGTACCTTGTTTTTAAACTGTGAAATTTTAATCATATTTTAGGTAAAATTTCTGTTACCTTTTAATTAATTTTTTTTTCAAATTAGTGCACTTTAAATTAAACTGATTTTATGAACTTTTATAAAACAAAAATTGATCAGTATGATTCATTTATGCTTCGAAAATTGTTCTGGAATATACTAAAGTGGGTATAATATCAAAACGACTAAATATTTCGCCACGATACTATTTATAGATTCCAGGCAAAATCAGATGAGTTTGAATTAAAAACAATACATCAATCATTCAAATCCTCTTAGATGTCAATAACAACTGTTAGTAATGGTAAGTAATAAGGTAAGAGGGGTCCTGTTGGGTAAAAAAAACCCAACAAGACTGTCAAAAGTTATACTGAGTCATAAATACAATAAAAAAATCTTAAAAATTAAATAATGGCCATTAATTTCAATAAATTTGGTAT